AAAAAAACCAAAATATTTTCGCATTACCAAAAGAAGTGATAATGTGTAGTTTTTTTCCTAACATTTCAATAGACGTTTATGATTTTGTTATATTTACATGTGAGCAGAAAATACTTAGTAAGACTTTTAAATTTAAAATTTGCATGAAAAAATATTTTTCAAATTATTGTTTTTCTATATATTTGTATGACTCTCAGTGTATGACTCTCAGTGACATCTGTGCCAAATGCCAACATGAAAATAATCTTTAGTTTTTAGTATAATCATGTCTTCTGAACAATTGCGTTCGGTGTCTTTTACGTTGAGTGAAATTATTCAACAAAGAAGTTCGATTTAATTTTGTGTGCGGAATAAAATTTCTTGTATCGAAACGTTCAGAATGTTGGAAAATGCCTTCGGTGACAATTGTTTGTCGCGAGCAAGTGTTTTTGCAACAAACTACTTAAAGAGGGTAGAAAACGCGTTGACGACGACTCACGTCCAGGACGGCCATCAACATTAACTGATAATAAACATGTCAATAAAATAAAGGAATTGGTGCTTAAGAGACAAAGATCTTACGGGCATCATTGAAGTAACGGAAGAATCAGTGAAAACAATTTTGAAAGATTAATTGGGAGCTAAGAAATGTGAAAGCACGATCGGTTTCAAAATCACTCAAAACTTTTGGAAAAACAGCGATGTCATACAACGTATGAGATACTGACAATGAGTCTTGGATCTAAGCTTACGAGCCGAAATCAGCCGACCAAACAGCCGAATATCATGCCAAAGGTGAGCCGAAAACATTTTGACAGTTTTCTTCGATGAGGTGTAATGCACTCCAAATTCCTCTCGACCGACCAAACTGTCAACAAGGAATATTATTTGAGTTTTATACGTAGCATGCGCGAAGCTATTGGTAAAAAAAAGGTCGGAATTATGGGCCGAGAGCTCTTGATTTTTATACCACGATAATGCAACGCAGCATACTACATTGATTCTTCGTGAGTATTTGGCCCAATTTTCAATCGATATAGTAGCACCCACCGTGTTCACTTGATTTAGTTCCGTATGAGTTATGGCTATTCAACAAATTCAAGCGACCGATCCGAGCAAACCGTTTTGAGTCAAGTGAAGTCCATTAAACGTAAATCGCTACGCGCATTGAAGGCTATGCCGGAAATCGATTTAAAAACTGCTTCGAGGATTGGAAAAAAGGTTGGCACAAGTGTATTGTGGCTACGGGGGACGACTTTGAGAATGACGACATAGATTTTGAAAAATAAAAAAATAATACTAAAATTATGAACAAAGTCTAACTATGTTTTGCTAAAATGAGGCATATGTAGACTAAGTGAAGTATTGACCCTATTTTACACCATTTGTGTAAAGTTTATGGGTGTTGCCATTACCTACACCAACCAGTTCATGCCTCGATTTCTACTCAAGTTATGGCTTACACAAATAGGCAGATGGATAAACGAACGGACATTAAGGCAAACCGACGGACTTACAAACAACCAGAATTCTCGAAAACTCTCCTCGTCATAACTCACACAACTGAACTAGTTATGTAAAGGCAGATAGGTAGAGTGGCTGTCTGAGAAAAGCTCTTAAGCCTATAGGAGGCCCATTGTTATACCATCGGGACTAAAGTCTCTTCACTCTATCCATCAGTACGAAAAGTTTTAACTGTATATCCTTCGAGGCTACGCCAACAAACGACAGACGGTTTTTATATACTCTTTTCCTATATAGAGCTCCGCATTCACATAGAAGGTAGAGTTAAGAAGCCACACCACATTTATAAAAAAAAACATTAAAAAAAAAACTCTCACTCAGTGTTGATGACTATTCCAATATATAAAAGATATACATACAAATATTTTATAAACACTGCAGCCATTGTCATAACTTAAGCCAAATACTTATCAGTAAGAATTCCAAGCTAAAAAAAAAATATTTTAAAGTGCATGCTATATTACACTGAAATACATAATTTATCAGACTTTAAAGTTAATTTATCCAAAAACAAAAAATATATATTTTAGATTGCCAATATATTAAAACCGTATACACTTTTATTCTAGTTGTTTTGAACCAGATAATAAAATACTTTTGTAAAAGATGATCCCAAAACGATTAGGTGGAGAATTTAGGCAGTGTCATTGAAAATGTCTGATGGGCATAAAGGTACTATCTATTTCGACGTTGTTAAACAAGAGAGCGATGTAATTGGATAGTCGTTTCAGGGAATTTTTGATATACCCCAAGCAGGTCTGGATAAGTCATATTATTTGCTGCTACAATATCCAGGGGGATCAACCCTACTTGATTTCTAGGGTTTTTAGCAATTCGCTATTGGTATACTAAATAGCGGTGGTGTCCCTTAGGAGGGAGATTGTTGAAGGTCTCGGTGGACGCTTTATCAATGCTGTTCACTGGCTTTCAAAATTAATTAACTTTAGCAGAGCAAATATTTCTTATTGTGTTTGGTTGACAAGTGTACCTCTCGCGATATAAAATACAGGCCTGGTCCATTTTAATTCATTCGCAGTCGTTCACGGGTTCACTGTATATCCTTCACTGGTTCACTGCATATCGCATACACTTATTTCGCATTCGCATGGAAATCAGGGTCACAATGGCGCTTGCACAATATATTTTGATTTTTTGTTTCACTGGTGTTCTCTGCAATACCGCCAATACAAGTGCGCCAAGTGCGGGTGAGTCTTCAGACAAATAAATCCGCATTTATCAACTGAAATACAGTTATACTATATATCGTTTTGCAGACTGCTCGACGGACACGCATCCCTTCATACCGATCGGTAGTAAATATTATTTAATAAATGCAGCCGTCAAGGTGATTTTTGCTCGCACTTGAGATTCTTAAACTATTGAATTATTATTAAGACACCATTCTTACCAATACAGATGAATTGGTTCGAAGCTGGTCTTTTTTGTCGCACTTTTGGCAGTGATTTGGCCGTAATCGAGTCCGAGGCTGAAATGGACGCACTATCTTTTCACGTAACGACAAATGGAAATCTTTGGAAATATTTCTGGCTTGGTATCACCGATTTGGCTGTGGAGGGTAAATTTATGTCACACTACAATGGACGTGCAATGCCCTACGCCAAATGGGCACGCGGTCAACCAGATGATAGTCAAAAAAGAGAAGATTGCGTACACCTTTGGCCCGTTAATAATATATATTTTATGAATGATTATCCGTGCTATTCGGAAGGTTATGCTCTGTGTAAGATGCGACCGCGCCCAAAATGTTGTAGTGAAAGTGGACTATCGAACTGTAGTTTGAAAAAGCTCGTACAAGAGTATGTGAGAAATGCGTGTCCCATATTGGATTGTCGAGATTAGTTCAGAATTTATTTATGTATGCAAATATGAGTAAGCTTGCGGAAACTAGTTTTTTGAGCAAAAATAAATGAATTAAAGTATAACTAAATCGAATCGTCAGAACTATAACTTTTTGTTAAGATCCAAAATTTTGGAAGGCTCTAGTAAATTGAATTTTGTGCAGTTATTGTCCAATTGGAACTCATAAGTTTAGCAAAAACAATTTCGAAACCCATTCTGTTGAAATTATCCGAAAGATGATGAGGTGGAAACTGGTCAGCACTTTCTTCTTGGCTAAATACTTATACAACGGGTGAGCCAAATAGAGGTACTTTTTTCAATAGCCTGTTTTGACGGATACCGCATGGGTCGTGTCAAGTTATCATTCTATCATGCATTCTATCATTGAATGACTCATGCCTGAACAATGCTTACAAATCATTCAATTTTTTTACGAATACTTACGTTCTGTAAAGAATGTGTTTTGCGAGCGCCTCTCAACTTATACTCAACATAATCGGCCTACTGAGCGTAGTATTCGCAACACCATCACCCATCTCGAAATCCAGCATTTATTATTGGATAATATTCGACCGAAAAGGTCACGTCCAGCACACAGAGAAAAAAATATAGCAGTCGTAACTGAGAGCACACATGAAGACCGTGGAGAGTCGATTCGGCGTCAATTACAGCAAGTCGTACCGACGTATGGAACGACTTGGCGTATTTTGCGTCGAGATCTTAAATTAAAAGCGTACAAAATACAGCCTGTGCAAGAACAGAAACTGCTCGACCAAGAAAATCTGACCTTTTCCAACCAAATTTTGTTAAACGATAAGACCCATTTCTGGCTCTGGTATGGGAACAAGCAAAATTGCCGCATTCGGGTCAAAGAGCAACTTAAATAGATTCCAGAGCTGCCATTTCATCCAGACAAAACAAATGATGATGCTGGACGTAACCGACTATTTGATGCCTGAAATTGAAGCTTGTGATCTCGGCTCCATTAGATTTCAATAAGATGACACCACTTGCCATCACATCACATCAATCAATGGATTTATTGAGAGAAGTTTGTAGTGAGCAGATAATTTCACGTTTTGGCCCGATTGATTGACCATGTAAAGTATATATATAATATATATAAGAATATGTAAAGTCTAAAGTCTATGCAGACAATTCCGCTTCGATTCAGAAATTCTCGAATGAGTCATCGAAAATTGCACTCAACGGATGGACCATCTGAGAAGTAGCCATAGCAAAGATTTTGAGAAATAATCTTCACAAAATAAATCCGAAAGAATATCTCTCGAATGATAATAGACGTTCCCCATTAAATTTGAAGTTTCTATGTTTTTATTTAAAATGTAGGGAACCTTTAAATGGATCACCCTACGTATATTTTGCTAACACTGGATAAACTAACTATTTATATTTTAAAATTTGTTTTCAAAATATCTTAAATATTACTTAGACCCTCGAATGGTCCCATTTTGAGTTGGGTATGATAACCAAATACCTTCTTCTCATATACATAAATTTTAGTTACAATATGTCTGTTAGTTTGAGAATTACCGAGAACGCACTACGAATGGTACGTATACTGAAAGTTTCATTGTATTGTCGTGTCTTCAGTCTCTATATGCTGACGAGAAACCATTATTATAGTCTACGTAATAAGCTAGAGAGAGGCTGATATAATCTACCTGCAGTAATAGATTTCGGTCCATAAAGAACAAACTAGTCATACCTGTACTTAGCTGAAACTTGGTGCCTACGAACAAATGTTGACAGGGTTAAGAAATTTTCAGTGTCGATGAATATTTTTAATATCACCGTTTTACTCTTTCATTCTCATTTCATTCTTTGGAATCTCAAACAAACCTCGGAACGAGATCTGATAACTACCAAAGAAAGAATCTGCTCTAGAGGGCTGTTAAAGAGTCTAACCCTTACTTTTCAGCACATTATTTTGTGAACATGATAAATCTATTAATCAGATTTTTAAATGACTCCATACTAGCACTAAATTGTAGATTAGGTTATTTGAAGTAGGTGTACAAGCCGAGAACAAAGGAGTGTGAATTTTTTCTCTATAAAAAGCAGGTGTTTGTTTTTCTGCAAAGAAAAATCTGGTGAACTGAGAAAAATATGGATGTCCACCTGTTCAAATAGTGATAGACTAAAAAATTAGGATTAACGAAATTCAGAGATATCGAATTCAGTGGACGAAATTAACTTCAAGTTGTTTGAACTTGTGATTCTTTAAAACAAATTCCTTGTGTTTCTATATAATATACGGTGGTTGTTGTCTACTGCACACATCTGAATTTTTTGAATTGGTTAGGCATGCGAGTCACATGAACTGTGAAGCAAATTCTATTAAATATGTCCCACGGTCGCATTTCAAATTCATAGTTACAAATACCTTCAAACTATCGACTTTCCATTAATAACTATTCGACAAGCATAATGCCCTTAAATACCCGCAAGTCAAATGTCATAAAACGCTTAAAACGATATTAAGAAATCTAATAAGTATTTCCAAAAGACATACGAGGCAAATCTCAATGCACCCCTTAGCTGATAGATTAGAAGCAAAAAAAGAAAAGCAACCCAACCATTAAATCAAAACCGATAATCCCAAGTTAAAACAACCAGTCAACCGACCAGCCCACCAATGGACACACACAAAGCCGTTATCAACCAGTCCCTTCGGGCGTTGCGCCGCCGGCCAGACGTTCAACGAAATGTCACAGAGTTTGCAACAGAGGGTTGCAAAAATTTCAATATACGACACATTATAAGGGCTTCGCCTGCACGCGACAAGATTTCCTGCACAGAAAAAATAACAAAAACCTGTCAATGCCCGAAGCTAAATTTTTGGCTGCGAAGTCAACCACCAGTTTATGCTAAGAAGGCGTGCATGGCTCGAATTTACCCCCCGGGGAGGGTGGAAACTGACACTTTGTTCCTCATTTAGCGCATCAACGACGTAATGATTCGATTATTTACGCTTGCCAACGTATTTTGGTATTTTGAGAATTTCATACAATAAGGGATTATTTTCGATTCCGCGCACACATATGCACAGATGTGTAGAGAAAGCGGCTGGGTGAAATGTCAAAATGACAATGAAGATTATTGAAAATAATTAGAAAGTAAGAGTATTCCTTTTTCATTGAATATGAGCGAGCAAAATAATTTTTTTGTAATATTTTTATTTTTATTTTTATTATTTAATTTTTTTTTTTATCTAATGGAGTTAGGTTAGAGTAGAGGGATACCCAGAGAAATTCAAACTCTCTTGTTACCGTTTATTTATATATAAACAAGATATTTTGGACTACTACAGGACCTATTGGGTTGTATTCAACATAAAAATGTGGTCCTACTACTTGTAAACACGAAAGATCGAAAAACAGTCGAAACAATAGACTTCAGAGGTATAGCTGATCAGAAGAAGGGAAAAACTCTACTCTCTGCCGGAAACCATAGTTTTCACAAGAGTAGGATATTATGTTACCAACCTTAAGGATAGTTGAAACTTCACAGGACTTGCATTGACGAATTAATGTGTCCATTAGTCGCCGAATTGCAGAAAAAAAATTGCTCATTTCATCAAAGAATATTGCTATTTCACCATGACAACTCAATTAATAAAATTTCCTCAGTATCCATGACCGAAATAATAATCTCAGTCACTATCTTATTCGACAATATTTGTATCTACATACATATGTATATATTATATATAGAGTAGTCCAAAAAGTCTTTTCGTATATCTAATCAAACGTCAACTTATTATTATTATTATTTTTTATTTATAATGAACTTTAATGAAGCAGATATGTACCATTTTGGTCGACCACTTTTTGAAATTTTTCCGCTAAAGACATTATTCCATCAGTGTAAAAAAAATACGAAGTCTCTTCTGTTGATCAGTTCTGGCCGTTTTGTCGATTTCTTGCTTCAATATCATCAGTTGTTGACAGTAAAATGTAAAATTAATCGTTCGACTAAGCTGAACCAGCTAATAGTGGATGATTGCTCTCCAATCCCACCAAACGCTCAGCAAGGAGCTTAAAATCTCACCTTTTCAACACTATATAGTATGACACAATGCGATTGCTAGCACTGGAGATATGTATACGACTTTAACATCTATTGACAAAATACGAAAAACTCTTTCGACTACCCAATATATATTAGGTTGTCAAAAAAGTCTTGCGGTATTTCGCTAGTTTTATTCGTCGCATCGGGTCATGCTATATCTCATTTCACGCGCTAACACGTGTTTGATTGATTGTTGTGTCGTTTAAGTCATTCGTGAGTTATAGCGTCGCAAACCTGGAACAAAATAAAGAGAAAATACGGCATATTTTACAGTACTACCACGATAAAGGCAAAAATGCATCTCAAGCCGCCAATAAAATTTGTGCAGTTTATGGACCCGATACAGTTTCCATTTCCACCGCACAACGATGGTTTCAACGTTTTCATCGCTGAATTGGTCAAAAGAGACCGGCATAGTAGCAGCCGTAGCATCGGTCAAGAGCTGGGCATGAGTCGTCAAAAAAAAATTTTATAAACAATTGAAAATTCAATGAAAATACCGCAAGACAACCTATTATTTTAGTATGTTTATGCACATAATTGGTTAACAAATAGTTTCAACGGGAATGAAAGGCATTAACTCATTTGTTCGGAACCTTTAGGAAGGACTACGTTTATAACCAATACAAAAAATACCTGCAGGTGGATAGGCATTCGTTAAATTAAAACCTAACACGAACAGAAAGCCTTGGAGACCGTCAATATATAATCTTATATCCGATACAATCTGCTATTGGACGAAAAGAAAAGCTCGGTCAAATATCTAAAAAAAAAATTTAAAGCACTTTACTTTCAACTTTTAAAACATTTTATTTATTTAAACTATCGTTGAAATAAACAAGTATTAACTTTTGTATCTGAAAGAAAAAATAAAATAATATACTAAAACTAATATTTTTAGCTTTAGCTTTTTGTTTGCGCTGAGAAAATTCGTATGAGTTTCGAGAAATGTATGCTGCTTTAGTTAGATTATTATGGAACAATTTTACAAAAACTAC